TTTGCGACCTTTATCATTATTAGAAGTATTTGACACTTTGAATTTTTTTTTAGATTGTTCATTAGATGATTTTAGTCATTTTAATAATGGTCTTCCTTTTGATTGATGTTTTAGTGGGTCTAAAACCAGTTTAGGATCAACTAAATTCCTATTTGTATTACAAATACTAGTAACAAGATTGTTGTATATATGAGCTAGAACACGTTGATCCTCCTTTCGTTTGTTGAATTCTTTTATAAATTGCATTATTTTATTATCCTTATCTTGTAATGCATAGTGAATTGCTTTTTTTGTTTTACCCATTAAGGCACCATATTTTAATTGATTTTTTGATATTTGCTTATGACATTTTTCTGAAAGATCAGTTATAATATATTTTTGGGTAAATTTTGGAATAATTTGTGTATCATTATGATTTAAACCATTTATTACTATTTCATGAAAATAGTCTTTATCCGAATCAAGATATTTATCCTTGTACCAACGTTTAGAAATCAACATTAAATGAAAATGTGCTTTGAATGATAATGTAAAAATTTTAAAAAATGTTTACATATAATTCTGTGAGTAACAAGCATAAAGCATGTACATAAATATTCTCTATTATTAAGTAAAATTATATATTGATAGCAATTTGAGTAATTATATCGAGAAACTTTCTAAATTTCTAAAATTTCATCATGATTAATCATTGAAATTAAAGATTGCAAGTTAAGTTCCCGATCCTTATCTACTTCAAAAAAATTTTCGACATTATTCATTTGTTTTTCTTCAACAAATGGTTCAAACGAATCATCATCGGATAATAAAATTTCTGATATTGGTACTTGATGTGCACAATAACATACAGATTGATACATTTGTTTGTAATGTGCATCACAAATTGGTTGAGTTAGGTATTTTTTAATAATATGATCAATACCAGTAAAAAATATTTGTATAATAAATGGTTGCGTATATAGCATTGTTGATTTTTTCCAAATTGAGTATCGATTATTAATCGACTCAAATTCAAGCCGATTTTTTAAAGCTTCCTGAACTTCTAAGAGAGAATAACTTGATTGTATAACCTTTTGAATTAATGCATTTTATGATTCTACACGTTGGGTAGATTGTGTTCCTGCTGTAAAACATTGAGATGTAAAATATTTTACCTATGTGTATTTTCGATCTAATAACATTGTAATATATCTTTCTTCCAGTTTATATTTTTCAAGCAACCCTTCAATTCTTCTCTCAAATACATCTTCACTATAAGAATGTTGAATGTTTTTAAAATCTTTAAGAAAATCTTGATAAAGTGTACCTAAACATGATCGAAGATTTTTAGGAAGATTTTGATAAAGATGAAATAAACATTGCAAATGACGGGTTTTAGGAAATACAACAGAAATAGCAGCAACCATGGCAGGATCTGCATCTGTAACAAAAGTTAATGGAAAAATTTCACAGGCTTCTAAACAACACCGAAGTAACCACTCATATGATTCCTGCCTTTCATCCTGTATAAGTGCCTGTGCTGCTAATCTACTCTTATTGTAATTATCAATCAAAATAAATAGACTCAACAGATAATTATACTTATTTGTTCGAGCAGTATTATCATGAATGATTATGTCATAAAACTTGAACCATCTTTCACATTGTTTGGGAGACATCCAAAATATACCAATTAATCGATTACTTGTATCATCAATTAATGGCTTTACAAACCACCGTGAATCATTAGCTTGAAACTCTAACAATTTTGTTAATAATAATGCTGCATCACCTAAGTTTATTCCATGTTCTCTTTTTATCTTTTGAATGGCATTTCCAAGGTCTTGAGTGAGAAAAATGCGATCTGGATACTTGGGTTGAAGAAGATTCCTAATCATTGTTGCATCACACCGGCAATGTATAACATAATATTTGATTTGTTCCATAATTTCTTGAGAAAAGCTTTTATAAGCTGTAGCGAACTTTATAGTTTCAATATCAATCTGATGATTGTGTTCCGTATTAAGCAATGTTACTGTAACAATTGGTGAATTATAAGATTGTGTCATATTAATTTGCCATGTGTATCCTTGTTTTTTACTTCCCTTGTTTTTTTGTTTTCCTAATGTTGGTCTCAAAAGCCGTTCGTTATATCTTCCACCTCTATCACATTTTAAAACTCTCTTTCTACAAGTTCCATCAGAAAATATCTCACACTTGTGTTTATAAACGGCAAAGTGATTCTGAAAGGCATATTGTTCTATATAATGAACTGCAACCAACATAGAGATAAATCGAGTTCCCACCTCAATCTCAATTGGAGAGGTAATTAAAGGTAATTTACCATTATAGTTCTCGAACTCAGAACCTAATATATTTCTAACGAATGGTGTGCTATTAATGCTAGCTGATTCTTTGTCATTTTTTCCAGCATTTGCACATGTGTTTACTAAAGTGCTACTAACAGGGAACTCAGAATAGTCACTATTTCTAGCTGCAGCGTCAGGAAACATAATTACAATTCCTAAATAAATCCAATTGCCTAGTGATATATTTAACGTAATTGGACTTATTCTACAAAAAAAAAAAAAAAAAAAAAAAAAAAAAAAAAAAAATTAAAAATAAATCTTCAAATTTAATTATGGCTCTGCAGTGCTCTATTAAAATATAGTGCCCATGCCTGTTCTTGGTACTATTGTTTAACAGAGCATATGCCAGTACTCGCAGAGTCAAAATTATATAATATTCATTTAAGAATGCATGACATTTAACGACTTACAGAAGAATGGCAGTAATTAAGATGAAATTTTTAGCATCCAAAGGTATAATAGAATCGGCTTTCTCTAAACGAAAAAAAAATTCAAGCTAAATATGAAATAACGATTTTAAGGACATACAATATAATAACTTACGGAATAATGGCAATAAATAAGATATTAATAGAATTTCTCGTGCTCAGAAGTATGATCCAGGTATGAATAACAAACTATAACGATTGAATTGGAATCGGCCTCCTTTAAATAGAAGACAAAATCAGTTTTAATTTTTAAATAAAATATTCGTCTTAGAAACACATACAAGTTACGATATAGTATGATTTTCTGTCACACTCACTTTTTCAATTTTGTTGCTTCTCTAATGACCCTGAATTTTCTTTTCTTGAATCGCTCTATTTATTTTTTTAAATCCATATGATAAATTAAATGAACTTCGCTTGTACAAAAAAAGAAATAAATCGATCATGCTTCTATGCACGATCGATCAAACAAGTATTCAAATTTACTATTTTGGATATGTTGCATCCACTGCCCAAACATACCAGACTTATTAAACTTGTGATGCGCACTGATCTAGATGGACTTTTGTTATAACTTTTCACCTTTATTTTTTGAATGCAAACAGTTCGTTTTATTGAATTCTTTTTTTTAATTATTACATCATTTGTACATCATTTATACGTGATTACTTTTATTCGCTATCATATACTATCATACACTATTTACGATTATTTACACTAATTGATATTTGCTGAGTTTAATTAACTTTGATTATATAGCATACTTATATATATATTATAGGGTGAATAAATCACTCAGGTGTTAAATAAATTTACGCTATTATTATTATTGGAAAATAGTAATATGATATAACCCTATCAGCTCTAAGCTCCACGATCGGCTCCGAAGCTTAAGCCGAGCCGTTTTTAGAGCCGATGCTTTATTAGTAGGCCTGGAGCGGAGCCGTTAACCGGCTCGGCTTAGCCGTTCGCATCACTAGCTCTGGGTCACTCATAAAAATAATGCAGTAACTGAGTGGAATAAAGTTGAAAAGTTAGTAATAATAGTGTCCCGGCCGAAACTCTGAGTGCGTACGTATGCTACTCCACTCCACTTATTAACCATAATCAATCATATGCCAACAAATGTACCAATGTGCAAAATTCACGTATCGCATAATAAATTTCCTGTTACACACGCTGCTTTAAAACAATATAAATTGTGAACCAATTTCGTATACGCAAATTAAATTATTTTTTGCCTTAATAACGATAATGCCGCTTAATATTAATAAACGTCTTTTTCTATTGTTATTATGTATATTTATTGATTTTGTTTTAACGAGCGAATATTCAACTGAAAATATATGTAACAAAGAAGGTCACTGTTATCCGAAAGTATTCATTGCAACAAGTTATTTCCAAGAAGTCTTAGAAGGACAAGAAATACCTGCAGGTACTTTAGACCCATTTATCATTAAATTTAATAGTATTTTTTTTTTAAACTTGAAATATTTTCTACAGGGCTTCATGTGAAAATTGATTTCGAGACTGGAAAAAAATACGCAAAACTCCTAGATCATAATGATAACGAACCAACGGACATTATCATAGTTGATAAAGATGGTTTAATTCATTCGGATCCCGTCCAAATTGAATCATCTGAAGTTGATACTAGTCAAGATACACAAGTTAATATACATCATGAAGATTCTTTAAAAACATTTCCGGTTATTCCGCCTGGACACAAAGAAAGTCTTCGCATATCGCATTCGGATAATTTACTTTTTGAAGAATGTGTTTCTAAATTAACCACTACACCACAATCTTTACATGATATAATATCTACCTTGGATAGTTTAGAAGATTTGGTTCATGAATTGGATTTTGGCATAAAACTCGCTAAAGGCAATGGTCTTATCTCAATTGTTAAACTTTTGGATAATGATTCAAATAAAGTCAGAGAAAAAGCTGCTTTGGTAATTGGTACTACCGTGCAGGTAATGAACTATTATTCTCTTAAGTTTATTATTCTCTTAAGTTTATTTAACCTATTAAATACATGTTTACTGATCACAAATAAAAATTGTTCATAACTAGAACAATCCAATAGCTCAGGATGAAGCATTAAAATTGGATCTCATACCTTACCTTCTAGACTTACTGTCTTCTGAGACAGATATAAAAGTTTCCTCTCGTCTTTTATACGCTTTATCCAGTGTAGTTCGTGGTAACAAAGAGTCAATACAGTCTATCAATGATAATCAAGGATTGTCACGGTTGGCAACTGTATACCAAAAATTAGACAATAATGATTTCCGTGCAAAATGTGCCTTATTCGTTGCCGATTTTATAGATCCGAATATGTTCAATATTGTTCATCAAAAGTTTAATCTTTTCGATCAAAATCATCATGATATTGTTTCTCCATTTGAGAATGTTATCGAAATCTGGTGCAATTTACTTCAGGATACATTATTCGATGATATGGGCAATGATAAGGAAATCGATTTTGATACACGTGAAAAAATACTTAGCGGGATATCCATGATCAAGAGTCAATATTCACGTCAGTGCCCTATTCATATCGGATTTAAAAATTGGTTATTAAAGCAAACTAATTCGGATAGTGATGAATATTTAAGTTTAGTTAACCAAGTCAAAATCCAATATGGATTAACTTGATCATTTTTTTAATAATACTGGTAATTCATCTAAATGTGTTAATTAGTCTATTAAATAGCATATATTTATATATCCTGGATTCTAGCAGAAGCACAGTGAATAGCAAGATTATTACTATATCAAATACTAAATGTAGTTACTATAACTACCGTACGAATGACATCTTTAATGAATTATTAGCATTCAGGCATATTTTAGGTCCGTGTATAAATAAAGACGTGTTTCACTCTTGGTATAAAAATAATATGGATAATTAATAATTGGTGATAAGAAATAAATCAATACATGGAATAGGTATAGTCTAGGCATAATATACCAAATAAAAAAAATGTCTTTAAATTAGTGCTTTAATCTAATATATATTATATTTTATTGGATATTTACATATTGGACTTTAAAT